GACAGGGGGCCGACCACGACGACGACGACGTCGACGTCGACGGCGACGAGGAGTGAAAGCGAGAGCGAGAGAGAACGACAGCAGGGCCACGAAGGACACGAAGTAGGCCATGAAGGGCGACAGCGGGGACACGAAGGGAATGCGTATGGGGCCACGAAGAGCGCGAACGAGCGGGGGCCACGAAGGGCAGATAATGCGGGGCCACACAAGGCAACGATGGGGCCACTGAGGGTAGCAACGGGGCCACGTAGGACAGTGAGGGGACCACAAAAGGCGACAGCGGGGCCACGAAGGGCATGCACATGGGGCCAGGACGGGCGCGACTCCTGGGTGCCTGGGTGTCAGGAGCGCGGCGCTTGAGCCAATTGCAGGAAGTTCCAACGCAAGGGCGCTATTCTTCAGTAAATTGCAGGCCAATGTTCAGCGAGTGCGCGACTCCAGAGCGCCGGGAGTGCGATTTCTGGATAAATTGTAAGGTAGTACCAAGCGGGAGCGCGACTCCTGAATAAAATGCGAGGAGGTCTCGGCGGGAGCGGGGGTCTGGCTAAATTGTGAGGACGTCTCAGGCGGGAGCCGTTGTTGTTGTAACCCAGGGGTCAAAGGCCCAGTTCGAGCATCAAAACATTCCTTGTCAAATTAGCCTGGCGAAGGACCCAACCATATGCAGCTGCGAGTACCGCGCGGATATGGGACGAAGCGGGGGCCACGCAAACTAGGCCCTCTTCTCATAGGCACCGCGCCACTGCGGCCTTCGGTGGAGCTCCCTATGGGGCCACGAAGCGTGTGAGGGGTGTGCCGACATGGGTGGTGGGGAGGCATGCGAACCGTGCCACTGGGGCCTTCGGTGGAGCTCCCTATGGGGCCACGAAACGTGTGAGGGGTGTGCCGAAATGGGTTGTGGGGAGGCATGCGGACCCTGCCACTGGGGCCTTCGGTGGAGCTCCCTATGGGGCCACGAAACGTGTGAGGGGTGTGCCGAAATGGGTGGTGGGGAGGCATGCGAACCTTGCCACTGGGGCCTTCGGTGGAGCTCCCTATGGGGCCACGAAACGTGTGAGGGGTGTGCCGAAATGGGTGGTGGGGAGGCATGCGAACCTTGCCACTGGGGCCTTCGGCGGAGCTCCCTATGGGGCCACGAAACGTGTGAGGGGTGTGCCGAAATGGGTGGTGGGGAGGCATGCGAACCCTGCCATTGGGGCCTTCGGTGGAGCTCCCTATGGGGCCACGAAACGTGTGGGGGGTGTGCCGACATGGGTGGTGGGGGGCATGCGAACCCTGCGACTGGGGCCTTCGGTGGAGCTCCCATATGGGGCCACGAAACGTGTGAGGGGTGTGCCGAATTGGGTGTGCGTGATGCATCGGCGGAGCTTCTACTAGGGAGCCACGAAACGTGTGAGGGGTGTGCCGAATTGGGTGTGCGTGACGCATGCGGGCGGCAGCACTGGGGCCTTCGGCGGAGCTCCCTATGGGGCCACGAAGCGTGTGAGGGGTGTGCCGAATTGGATGTGCGTGACGCATGCGGGCGCGGGCACTGGGGCCTTCGGCGGAGTTCCCTATGGAGCCACGAAGCGTGTGAGGGGTGTGCCGAAATGGGTGTGGGTGACGCATGCGGGCGCGGGCACTGGGGCCTTCGGTGGAGCTCCCTATGGGCCACGAAACGTGTGAGGGGTGTGCCGAAATGGGTGTGGGTGACGCATGCGGGCGCGGGCACTGGGGCCTTCGGTGGAGCTCCCTGCCACGTGTGCGTGACGCATGCGGGCGGCAGCACTGGGGCCTTCGGGGAGCTCCCTATGGGCCACGAAGCGTGTGAGGGGTGTGCCGAATTGGGTGTGCGTGACGCATGCGGGCGCGGGCACTGGGGCCTTCGGTGGGGCTCCCTATGGGCCACGAAAGCGTGGGAGGGGTGTGCCGAATTGGGTGTGCGTGACGCATGCGGGCGCGGGCACTGGGGCCTTCGGCGGAGCTCCCTATGGGGCCACGAAACGTGTGAGGGGTGTGCCGAAATGGGTGTGCGGGACGCATGCGGGCGGGCACTGGGGCCTTCGGTGGGGCTCCCTATGGGGCCACGAAACGTGTGAGGGGTGTGCCGAATTGGGTGTGCGTGACGCATGCGGGCGGGCACTGGGGCCTTCGGCGGGGTGGAACCCGAAACCGAATTGTGTGCGTGCATGCGGGCGCGGGCAATGGGCCTTCGGCGCGGCTCCCTATGGAGCCACGAAGCGTGTGAGGGGTGTGCCGAATTGGGTGTGCGTGACGCATGCGGGCGCGGCACGGTGGGGGCCTTATGGATGGGGCCACGAAACGTGTGAGGGGTGTGCCGAATTGGGTGTGCGTGACGCATGCGGGCGCGGGCACTGGGGCCTTCGGCGAAGCTCCCTATGGGGCCACGAAACGTGTGAGGGGTGTGCCGAAATGGGTGTGCGTGACGCATGCGGGCGCGGGCACTGGGGCCTTCGGTGGAGCTCCCTATGGGGCCACGAAACGTGTGAGGGGTGTGCCGAATTGGGTGTGCGTGACGCATGCGGGCGCGGGCACTGGGGCCTTCGGCGGAGCTCCTATGGGGCCACGAAGCGCTGTACTGGGTGGGTGAAGCGCAGGGAAGAGGGGGAGGAGGGAGGGGGCAGCGGGAGGAGGAGGAGGAGGAGTGAACGCGGGGCGCTGTCTCTTCAAAGCGAGGACCCAACACCACAGGATGGTTGGGAAAAACAGGATGCGAGCGTCGAGGGGCATACTTTGATTGAGAGACAAAGTATGCACCGGTGGGGGGATCAACGATATTTTTTTTTCTGAAATGAAAGGTCAACAACAGCAGCAGCAGCAACAACAACAACGCATCAAGCATATTTCCCACCACGAATTTCTTATTCAGCCACGCGCCCTGGGACAACGAATGACCGCTCGGCCCCCTCACTCCGATGATTAATGTTGGTGGTGGTGTTGTCGGTGCTGTTGTTGTTTCGTCCTTCTCTCTCTCTCTCTCCTTCTCTCTCTCTCTCTTGTTTTTCTCTGTATTTATGGTTATCTCTCTCTCCCTCCCTCTCTCTCTCTCCCTCTCTCTCTCTCTCTGTCTCTCTTTTTCGCGGCGTCCTGGCCCCGCCTGGCTGCGTGCCGAAAGGAAGGGGGGGTGCAGGACGGCCACTGCCGCTTTGCGGAACGCGCTGGGTCAGCAAGCTGTCCAGGGTGGGTATTAGGCGATCGGACTCAGAGTTGCAACTTTTTCAGGCTGCTTTCCCCAGGGATCGGATGCAAGTCGCGAGGTACAGTCGGGGCGCTGAAGAATGAACCCTTTTCGTTGGGGAGGAGCTCCGTGTTCCTTGATTGCTTCGCAGCGTGCCTTTGATTTTCTTTAGGCTTTCGACACGAAATCGAGGTTTAACTTATGGGAAATAGTCGGGGGAGCGTAAGACCCGGGTTTGCCGGGACTCGGGTTCGCCATCGTTTTTTGACGACCGCGACTCGGATTTTGACGAGGAGGAGTTTCGTGGGATGTCTGCAGCGGGAGGCCTCGTCAAAATGCAGGCTCGGCCTCGTCATTTTTTTGACGACCTCGTCGGGGATTTTCGAGTCCCCCGTACCCGGGTCTTACGTCTCCCCGAAATAGGGGCCTCGTTCCTTATTTGGGGTTCCTTAGGTCAACGCCTCGACTGTGCCCTTGGGCGGGGCCCAATTCGGCCCAGCGCCGCCCAGAGCGCCGCGCTCAGGCTCTCACGGTTGGGAACTACACCTACCTCGACGGCCGGGGGGTGGAGGGGGGGGGGGAGGGCGGGCGCAGAGCGGGGGCTACCGTCGGGGCCCTGAAGAGGGGGAACCCTTTTCGCTGGGGAGGGGCTCCGTGTTCCTTCATTGTGTCGCAGCTCGCCCTGGAGTTGCCTCAGGTTTTCGATGCGACATCGGAGCTCGACTTATGGAAAATAAGGGGCCCCGTTCCTTATTTAGGGTTCTTTGGGTCAACGCCCCGACGGTACGCGGACTGCGTCCGTTCCTCGCTCTTGCTGCTCAACTGCGCCCTGGTCTCGCGCAGGCGCCGGGAGCGGGGCCGATCGACATCGGCCGATGGACGCTGCGCGCCTCCGCTCCCGCGGCATGCCTGAGAATATGAGGTGGGCGGAGAGTGGCCGCGTCGATGGGGCAGCTCATCGTCGGGCGAAGAGAACTATGCACATGCACCGATCCTGGCAAGGCCCATTTTTGACCCAGGATCGGTGCATATGCCTTCCTGGCCAAGGTAGGAGGGCGTATGCACCGATCCTGGGCTCAGGATGGGCCTGGCCAGAATCGGTGCATGTGCATAGTTCTTTTCCCTCTATCATCGGGCGGAGGAGACCAGCGATGAGGAGGAGGAGAAGAGCAGCAGCAGGAGCAGCTGGAGCAGACGCGTGAGATGTAGCAGGGGCTCGCGCCTGGGCGGAGTGGCGGAAAGGGGGGGACATTTACGAGCGGGAGGGGCAGGGAGATGCCCGATGGAGGCGCTGGGCGTGAGGGCGGGAGGGGAGGGTGCAGAGGGGTGGCGGAGGGGCGGAGGGCATGCAGCTCCAGTGAGTTTGGAATTTGCATGCGGTTGCAGCCCTTGCGATCTCGATCCAGAAGAGCCGTGCCCGATACACAAGACAAAGAAGTAGTCGTTTTTTTATTCATTGTTTTGCCGATCGGCGCGGGCCGTCGCACCCCCCTCTCCCCCCTCGTGGAGTAGATCTTGGCTGTTTTTGGAGCCTTCTTCAGGCAGGTGGAGTCTCCTCCAGAGGACGCGCTGTTGCAAACAGTCGCATTCAACAGAGGTCTGGAGCCAGATCTCCCCCTCCCCCCCCCTCTGCCCAATGTCAAAACGCAGAAAATAACAGTTCACGAAACGCTGTGCTATATTTGTGGATCAACGGTTGGCATGGGCTTTGGCAGAGCATTCAGTGGCGAAGAAGGCGTAGCCCGTCTTGCTCGAAGCGCGTCGCCCTTGATGTCCGCCCCCCCTTCCGCTCCGACCCCCTCTCCGACTCCCCCTCTCGCGCAGCCGTTTTGGCTCAAGATGCCAGATGCCAGGGCCTCGAAGGAACCGAGTGGATGCCGCTGGTCCGCTGCTAGGCCCAAGGGGTTGCATCGCACCGCTGCGCCAGCCTGCCCGGGCGTCACAGCACCCTGGCCCCGCAAGCTTGAGCGGGCGTTTGCAAGGGCTCCCTCGAGGGCGCGAAGTTATTCGCGCTTCGCGCTTCGCGGTCCTCGTTCCTTCTCCCCCTCCTCCTCGTCCTCCTTTTCTCCCTTTGGGAGGGCGGCGCGAGAGCGCGAAGTTATTCGCGCTTCGCGCTTCGCGCAGCGCGAAGCGCGAAGTTGGGAGCCCTAGGTTTGGGAGTGCCAGTGCCGAGCGACTCGCAGCGGGGCCGGCAGGCTCCGCTGCCGTTGCGGCACTCCCGCGGCGGCCCCCATCAGGCATCGTGCGTTGGAGAGGTAAACAACAAACATCAGAGCGTGAGTTACCTACCCCGCTTTCGCTTCCAGGCAAAACCAAGCCATACCACGCGCCTCCTCGTCAAGCGGCCTGACCAGTACAGGCTGCAGTTTGGCATCGTTTGGTATCTCTTGGAAGCGAGGGTGGTCAAAAGCGAGGTAGGGTTGTTTTCCCCCTAAAATACTTGGCCGACATTGCTTCTGCTGGAAAGAAACGTGGTGGCAGAGGAGGGGGCCAAGGTGGCTCAGGTGGTTGGTCGCCATCGAGTGCTGCCCCCACTGCCATGCATAATCAACTCAATGACCTTGTGCAGGCACTTGGTCGTGGAGAGCTTTCTGGGAGCCAGAGTGGCATGGCACCTGCCAAGGCGCCGTCGGAGGCACCCTGGGCGAAGGACGCTGCTGAGCTCAATGCCAGCAAGGCTGCGCTCGACCCTGAAATCGGTGAAGGTGAAAAGGCGAACGTACCTTTGCAAGCCTCCGACTCTGAATCGCTTCAGAAAGTCCCTGCTGGGGAAGATTTCGAAGATCTGCGACAACCTCTCAAAGACAAGGTGGCCCAGCTGCGTGACATTCTTGAAGGCCTCTGCAATCCCACGTCTGCCCATCGGCGTGCTTCTCACGAGTTGTCCATGGCGCGTACGGAGCATCAGCAAACAGGAGACCGAGGCAGCCGAGGCCAGGCGCCCACTGTCGAGTTCGACAGCTTGGAGGAGTTCGAGGCCAATTATGCAGGGTTGCACGACTTCCTCGGTAGTGTGGCCTGGCAGGGGATGTTGTCGTCGATGCGCGTCAAAGGGAAGCCTGCTGCTGCTTCTGGCGGTGCTGCTGGTGATGCTAAAACGATGAGCCCATGTGTGAAGGCGCCGCCGACCTGGGGCAGAAGGATCTGCTCAAGATATACGTGACTTTGCAGAGCTTGATGAAGAGCAACATCGAATGCTACATGCTGCAAATGACTTCGACGCGTTCCAGGACAACATTGGTAAGCTCAGCGTCATATGGCAGAAGTGTTCCCGACGAAGAGGCCGCGCCATGGCGCGCAGGGTGGCGAGATCCGCCCGACCCCTCGGTGCTCCGCGGCGCCCAGCACCGCTTGCTGTCTGCGCCCGACAGCAGAGCTCAGGGCGCCGCCGAGCAGGGCGGCGATGCGCGCGGAGCTTTGCCGCCTCATGCATCGCCTCGGGTGAGAGGGTTTCGACCAGGATTGACCATTGCCGAGGCCGTCTGTTGGTCTTATTCTCTAACAGTCATGGGATTGAAATCCGCAAGGGCTTCGCTCCCTGACGCCGGCGCTCGGCTTGCGATGCCAAGTGGCCCGAAGCTCGAGCGCAGGACGCTGGGTGTCTCGTGACCGGTGTGCGAGTGCGGGCAAAGGGATGCCCGTTGTCGCCGCCGGTGGACTTGCGCGAGGCCAGATGCGAAGGCTGCTCGCGATGCTCTCGCTCCGCCGACTCCCATCCTTCAAGCGACCGCTGGGAGCTCAGAGTCCATTTTCGCGCGCGGACTTCTCTCGTGTCTGTATTCAGATCTCCAGCTGCCGTGCACGAGCGCAGGTTGCCGCGTGTCTGATGGGGGGGGAGAGGCTGGACCTCGAGCCCGAGGAACTGCCATTCCGCACTGCGGGAGCCGAGTGCCTCGAGCCGGCGGCGGACAGGCCTCGCGCCGAGCAGACCCTTTTTCGCCGTTGCGGCCGCTGCTTTTTTTTGCAGCCCGAGTCGAATCGTTCAGCTGCCGTCGTGCGAGGGGCGGTCTTGGGGCCCCTGCCCCAAGCTCCTGCCTCAGCCGAGCATTGTTCAGGAGGGGAAAAAACACACAGACACAATCAATCCTCGATCCCCAAGAAAATATGCGAAAATATGGGAAGTGGGGGGGATGACAAAAACCCAGAAAATACAGGAAAATATTGGGAATATGTTTATTTGTGTGTATTTATTTGTGTGTTCTGGGGCCCCTTTATTAGCTGCCGTCGTGCGAGAGGCGGTCTTGGGGCCCCTGCCCAAAAGCGCCTGCCTCGGCCGAGCACTGTGCGCCAAAGTCTGCCCGGGCAGATCGCCGATCGGCCGTCGAAGGCCAGGTTTGGCATTTCGAGTGTCATCCAGTATTTCCCAAGAGGAAAAAAACACACAGACACAATTAATCCTCGATTTCCCTGGAAAATATGGGAAAATATGGGAAGTGGGGGGGAAGACAGAAACCCAGAAAATATGGGAAAGTATGGGGCGTATTTTTATTTGTGTGTATTTATTTGTGTGTCCTGGGGCCCCTTCAAGTATTTCGAACGACACCCGTTTCGGCAGTTGCTCCCGGACAAGACATGTGCAAAGGGCTCGTAAGTTTGCGTTTGTGCTTGGAGTGCCCAGTGTCTACTGGCCTTTTTACGCAGAAGCTCGCAGTAGCGTTGACAAGCTGGACCAGCTGCGAGGCGATGGGTATTGCCATGGGCAGGCCAACAAAGCTGTAGATACTCGTGCGAAGCTATCTTTTTTATCTCTCCCTCTCTCTCTCGATGCATCCCGCAGTGGACCCCGCATTGTTGTCGGCGATAAGATTTCCGCAGGCTCGTGCAGCCGGTTCTGGTCGTGGTGCGTGTGAGGCGCTGCCGTTTTTAAGAGTGAGGGGCGGTGGCAGCGAACTCGCATCAAATCTCGAATTCAGCCCCGCCGAAAGAAGATCTGGCACCTGTGGAATCGCACAGAGTTCGGGATGCAATGTGCTAGCTGTCTGATTGCTTGTGAGTCGGAAAATCGTCCACTGATCCGAAACGGTCATGCCCTCGACGCCGCGTCGGGCCAGGCTCTGAAGCGGGCTAGTGAGACCTAAGATGACCCTGTCGGTTCCTCGGGGGCGATTGAGGTAAAAGAGCAAGAGTTCTTTTGTCTCAATTGCGGGGGAGGTCACAAGGGAGGACCTGTAATCTTGACAAGTGTTGCCAAAAGCCCAATATATTTAATAAAATACAGGTGGGTTGCAGGGCCGAGACCCAGGATGAGAGAACTGATTGATAAAGTTTACCTATTTCTCGGCTGAGTGCCACCATGGCCTGTGTTCGTTCGAATGCCGGTGTCACCACAACCACCACCCGCAGTTCTAGCAGTGTCCTACAAACCCCCCAGCACGAGCAGAGGATGGCAGCCCGAGTAGCCAGAATCAAGGCTAAAGAGGCGATGAGTTCGATGGCGTAGCCTGATTCAATGCCCTGTGTTTTGTGCGTTCACCTTATGACCTCTTCGGGGGTGCGGTCTTATCTTATTCGACTCCCACTCCCACTCCCGCTTCTTTCTCTTCTTAGCCGTCCATCTTTTCCTCCTGCCTTCCTGCTTTCTGCCATATGTCCTGGTCCCCCCCCTCCTCGTCGTGGTCGTTCTCATTCTCCCCTTCCTCATCTTCACTTTCCTCCCCTTCCTGAGGTCCCCCTCTCATCACCCTCATCCCTCCCCCATCCACGTCGTCGTCCTCCTCCTCCTCCTCCTCCTCCTCCTCCTCCTCCTCCTCCTCCTCCTCCTCCTCCCCCTCCTCCTCCTCCTCCTCCTCCTCCTCCTCCTCCTCCTCCTCCTCATCCTCCTCCTCCTCCTCCTCCTCCTCCTCCCTCTCCTCTGCACTCCCCTCCTGCTGCAGATCCTCGTCCTTCCCCCCGCGTCCTTTCCAATGCGGGCTGGGCGTGGCGAGGCGCCCTTCACGTGCAGATCTGCGTGGCCTGCGACTGCATCATCAGCCACCTCTGCAGCCAGCGCAAGGATCGCCGCCGGCGACCTGCCACCGCCGCCCTCGAAGAGCCTGCTGGATGGTCGGAGGAGGAGGAGGAGGAAGAGGAGGAAGTGGAGGTAGAGGACGAGGAGGAGGAGGAGGAAGGAGGAGCAGGAGGAGGGTAAGCAAAAGGGCCAGAGGTCTTTGGATGCCTCTCGGAACATCCTGGTCTATCTCTTCGGCGCTTTTTGGGTGGCCTCTTGGGACGTCTTGGGGTTCTCTTGGCGGTCCTGGGGGGCTCTTGGACAGCCCGCTACTCCCTGCCCGACAACTTCTGGCCGTCCCAGACAAGGGTCACGGCCAAGAGTGGCTGGATCACCTACGCACGCGGCCGCCGAGACGGCCATCGACCGCGCCCGAATGTGAGCTACCAGCGGAAGCCGGGTATCGATGTGGTGAGAAGGGGCCATGGACGTTGCTTTCAGGAGGAAGGCATCCAGCCAACAGGCTCGGCAAGTTCAGTTATTTCTGTGTGTTGTTGTTTTTTCTTCTTGAGCCGATGCTCCAGGATCAGGGTATCTCCATGCATCGTGACCATCGCCCTGAACCAATCGAGACGGCACAGTACATGATGTAGATCCGGAGAAGATGGTGATCGTGAAGTACCCGAGTTCTGGAGTAAGATGGCCGCTCCAGCCTCACGAACCGCTTGAGAAGGTTCGTGGTCCAGTGGATGTAGCCTTGCAGCCATGTCGGTGCCTCAAACAACAGTCGCCATCTCGACGGCGGCAGTCAGCTCGGTCGCTCGTTCAGTTGGGCTCTGCGAGTCGGAGTAGCAGACCCACCCCGACTTACGGAGAACCATCGGCGCAGTAGACCACCAATTCAGGGGTAAGCCATATCTCCTGGCGATGCCAGTACTCTCGACATGATCGGCTGGGCAGTCGGCCCAGTAGTGGCGAAACGAGGGAGACGCCGCTCCACACTGGCGGCAAACCCTCCCCGAGCAGCGGCGCGTCTCCGAGGGCACGGCTCCAGCAGGAAAGGTCCGCACCCGCTTGCGCTCGTCCTCACCAGGACGCTTGTAGAAGCGCTTGTGCACGATGTTCGACTCCGCATCCACGTCCACGTCCAGGAGCCCCTCGGCGTCGAAACGTTTGTCATTGACTTTTGCCTAGCAGCGAATCCGCGCCAGGCAGCGCAGCAAGTGCTCGACCTTCTTCTCGTGGCGTGGGTAGCCAGGCCGGTGGGTCCAACAACTTCTTTGGCTATCCACAACATCCTGCATAACCATGACCAATCGGTGATCGTCAGTGTCATTCACCTCCAGGCAGCAACCGCGGCCATCGGCATAGGCAACAACACAAACCCCAGGACCTGGGCATGCATGATCATCGCGTTCCCCAGGACGGTCGACCACACGAGGCGCTCCTGGGAGATGACTTTGAAAGCCTGCAGGGATTCCGACAGACGCGGGTGTAGATGTACATGTTGCGCCCACCAGCGCCCGTAACACCACCAGCGGTTGGTGGATCTGGTGATCGACTTGTACATAGCTCTGTCGATCGAAACCGAAGGCGGCGCCACCGGGGCAGGCCCACAGCCAAAGCGGGCGAATCTACGCAACAGCAAGGCGAGCACGGATTTCAGCACTTCCTGGAACTGTACCAAACACGCGGATTGCTGTACGAAGCTTGTCCCAGCCTGCTCTCGGCTGGATTGGAGTAGAAACACCAGCTGGCATCAGCTGGTGTCGCCGCGATCCCTAGGTGTTCGACTGCCGTTGGGGGTTGGTTCGAGCGAGCCCACATCTGACGCTTACGCACATTCTCCTTGAAACCGACATCAGTGTCGAAACGTTGGGTGTAGTCCAAGTCCCTGGCCAACTCCTGGGAGGAGGACGACGTGGGGGACCTGCCGTCCTTAAAAGCGTAGCCACTCGCGGTTGCCACGGCACCAAGGCCGCGATCATGGTGGCGGGGGCCACCGAGTCTTTTTGTGGAAGCTTTCGAGAAGGCCAGACCGGTGGCGCCAAAGACGAGTTGACGCTGCAGTTCCTGGGGGCTCCCCAGGCCGCCACAGCAGTGAACGCAACCGCAGGAGGAACACCTGAACATGTACAAGCCTGAGCTTCCACGGCGTGATCAATGTTGTCGCACGCGCGGCTGAGGTCCACCTCGGCGCCTGCCTCGGCGGCTTCGCATGAATGTAACCAGCTGCTGGTCGCGTGGGTGGCGCTCGCCGCCAGCCGCCCTGCAAATTGGTTCTGTGGAGGCTGCGTCATCCCAGCAGACAAGGCCGATGACCAAGGTCTGACCAAGATCGAGCCCGCTGAAATAGGACGAAATTCAAATTCACTTCTGGGGGATTTCCACATCGCGCCACGGACATGCCATGTCCAGCGCGTCCTTGTCCAGGGCGCCCTGGGCGTTGACGCGCTCGCGGCTGGCGTCGCGCCAGAGCTCGTGCAGCTGCAAAATCATATCTGGGAAGAGGCGCCGTGAAAGCTTGAGCTCCGCGGCCGTCCATCCGCTTAGCCCAGGGGCGCCGTGACATTTAGCAAGGATGTTGCCAAACCGCCCAAAACTCGGCAGCCGGTGCCCCTCCTGCCTCGACTGAGGGAAGGACGCATAAGCGGCCCATTGTTGCCGTCGAGTAGAATGGCCAGCGGCGTCATGTTGGGCAGGATATGGGGCCCACGCTGTTCCCGCCCTAGGTGTATCTCCATTGCGTCCGCTGGGGCAGTCGGCGAGGGCGCCCCGAAGAGCGGGGTGGCAAGCTTGTGGGCGCCCTTGGTCCAGCCGGCGAAACGATTTCGCCAATCGCGAGACTGCGCATCTAGGGCGCGTCGTTGTTCCTGAGAAATGCCTGCGCTCAGCAAGTCCAGGGCCTCGGCGCGGGCCGGGGCCCCGTAGAGCGGCGCGGCAAAGGGCCCCTCCCAGCCAGCACGCGCGAAACGTTGAAAGAGAGAACCAGCCTAATTCTGGAAAGCCAACGTGGGGCCCTGCTTGATCTGCTCCGTCACCTGTCGGTGTAGGCGCAGCAGTCGACGAAGAGCGATTGTCTGAGCGAGACGATGGGGGGCGCCATGGCACGTCGGCTTCGTCGAAGGAGCCGAACCCGTGGCGCGCTCACCCTGCCGCTCCACGGAGGCGTAGTCGCACTCGACGGCCAGCCTGAGCGCCAGCTCGGCGCGCGCGCGCCAGTGCTACCACTCGGCGGTCAGAGGGGCCCGGTCATGACCGCCGAGAACAGGGTCGCCAAGTTCAGGCGTCCGTGCGCCCAGTTCAGCTCGAAGTGCATCCAGCCGGCGTTGGAGAGCGGGGGGGGGGCTTTCCGCGCGTAGAGCGCCGCGCGGCGCAGCTTGCGTTGAGAACGATGGCACATCGGCCCCTGCAGCGCGCGGAAGGCCACGCCATGGAAGGGCGCCCCAGGGGGCATCTTCACGGCGAGGCGCTTCGGCAAGTAGGGGGCGGGCGGCCCGTTGTGGAGACCTCGTCGGAGTAGCACCTGCAGTGGCGGTTGCAAACGACGCTGGTCACATGACCCACCCAGGACAAACCGTAGAATTGCACCGCGCTTTCCCCGATGACATGCGAAGGATAATCCTGAACTGCAAGATTCTGTGCGACATATAGAAGCGCTCCCACCATGCTGGGTCCTCTGTGACTGGCCCATGACTGGCAGGTAGATGCAGCTCGTCGTCTCGGTGCCCGCGACCCTGTGGCCGAAGGAGGAGTCGCGGATGAGCGAAATCTCCCCGACCGCGTTGGGCTTCCACGCAATGGCGCACCCTCCTTGGCGGACAGCGGCTGCGCGCGTTGGCGGCGGCGGCGGCGAACAGGCCACTGGCCAACCGCATCGCTTAAAACATTGTAGTGCCCATCGTGGACGCCCCCCCCCGTTGACGAAGTTCCTGACATAGTAGAAGAGAACTATCTGAAGCATTGCGAAGCGCCTCCTCGAGACGCGCCCTGTTAAAAGAAGTCGCACTCAAAGTGGCAACGGTGGCGCTGATGTCCATAGGGTCGCGCGGCTTCGTCGCTGGAGAGCCGACGCCATCAACCAGTGGGTCGT